GGCACTGCCGCCCCTCAAAACTGGGACAGTGTCATGCTTTCACTGTTCCTGTTCACGATGCAAAATTAACTGGATATCAGTTATAACAGCTTACATTTTAGTGACTAAAAGCAAAATGTCTCTGTGAACCATATAGCCACCATCATGTACTGGTCTGACATTTGTGGGTCAGTTTTGATTTAACCTGGATCTGTATTCTGGATCTATGCCAAATGAGCTCTCAGTGACCTAACTAGGCTTCTTTTATTTAATGTTTTTGATCTCTTAGGCATTTTATTTTAGCAGTAACGTTATTATTTTCCATCTTGTAAGGGCTGAAATCAATTGAAATGGTTTATTTTCAAAGTGTAATGGAAAGGGTTACCATAGAGACTGGTCACATCATTACATACTGTAGTGTGTTCTTCTTAGAAGAATCTAATCTCTAGATCAGTAATCTTAACTACACAGTCTGTGGACTGTGTGACATTTCCACCCCACTAAACTTGTCCTTTCAAATTACCTTATAGAGCTGTTAAAGAAACAAAGAGCAAAAACCTTTGAATTAATTGACTTGTGTGGATGCGCTACAAACTGAAATAGAATTGAGTTCTGAGAACTGTTTTCTACACATTTCCCACTTACAGATCTTTTGGGGAAAAAAAAACTCAGTTCTCTGAGTAGGATTTGGTTGCTGTTCCTGCTCTTAAAGACACCAGGTCCTTGTCAGGATTTTTGATGAAAAATGGCAATCACAAATGTGACAAAAAATAATCTCAGACAGAGATTATGACCAGTATAATACACCTCAGTACTACAAGTAAAGAAGGTTCAGTCATGTTAGGATGTGTCACGTATTTTAGGCAAAGTGGGCAAATATTGTTTGCATTTAAAAACAATTCTGACAGCCATTTTGCATTTCATACATGCCTGTATTAAACAGCAACAAGAAGGAACTACTTGTTCTTAATACTTAATACTATTGTACTAATATACTAATACTATAATACATACTAATATACAGTAGTGTATATATAATATATTAATATAACTTATTAATATTACTATACTATTATTATATTAATATAATAATGTACTAATAGCATGTATGGAGAGCTAAATAAAAACGTATTCACCCCACAGTTAAACCAACAATTAACAAAGGCGATGGTAAAAGGTGTAGTTAAAAAAATAATCTTTTTTGTGTTAAATATTTTGTGTGGCCTTTAGTCTCTTTGGAAGAGTGGACCTCTGTTAAAATGACTTTCTATGTTCCCCTTGTTCTCCTACTGTACATCCTGTGTGCACTCACTGTCCTCCCTTGCACTGCTCTGGTGGAACGAGCTGCTGCACCTGTAATCATTGGGACCATATCATCTCTAATCCCCTTCTAGGTCATCTCTTTATATATTACAATCTATGGCACTGTCTTTCAACGACCAGCAGTACGTGACAGTGGCCCATTAATGAAGATTTAAAGCTTTTGGCTGACCTTTATCCATTTTGCTCAGGTGTTTTGTATTGTAACCCAGAATCATAATTACAGTACATAGCCTGCTTGTGCTATAGTTTCCAGTGTGTTGTTTTTCCCTGAAAATTAAAGGATTATGGCATGGATTATGCCATGCTGTACAGACTTTCCTTTGAATTTATTATATCAAATAGTGTCTAGTTAAGTGGACAAAAATGAGTCATAATTATACAATGAATAAACAGTGGTCTTTGAGAACTCTGGCTAAAGAGCTATGCTATACTGTACGTTGTGTGGTGAATAGTGGTAAGGAAGAGGTTAAATACATATCCATGTTCTTCCTCAACTTCTTAGGATGGAATCATGGAAGATTTTAAGTCTTCACTGCCATGTAAACAGAAAGATTAGGCTGAAATTGTTGCACCAAGATATCTTTGATTATTCTCATCACTCTTTCTATAGTGATACACACAAAAAAGGCAGAAAAAGACGGGAAACAATGTACAGTACATTGAGATTTTGACATGATTGGTTATGGGAATTAGTTTCTTGTTTTTTTTTTACTTTTATGTTCATTCCAAGGTTGTTATTTTCTTTAATCTTTATAGATAGGCTTGGGTTTAAGAGAGGATCAGGCAGCACTGAGCAAATAGCCTAACTGGCATATATCCATTTAACTGCAATAAATGGGAATAATCTTAAAACATAATACAGTGAACTTTTACATTGCTTCTGCTTCTTTGTGTGTTGTACAGTATTCCAGCCAGAATATCTCAACTTTCAACTTGATAGGACCAACATTAACAATACTACTGTTCAAAACTGAATGGCTTTACAATTTAATTAGTAGAAATATCATGACTGCAATATGAATAAAATGTGACTGAATAGTTAAGATTGAAAACACCAGTGCCAAAGCACAGGCAGGTGCTCTCAGTTTCCTTTAATCTATACTGGAGCTTTTCAGCTTGTTTCGGAGCCAGGAGGTTATCACACTGCAGACATCTGAGAGAGCAGGTCTATTTACAGCATAGAGACATAGAAAGTGATTGCAACTTCCAGAATTTCTCATATGCTTCACTGTATTACACAAACGCACACATCAGAAAAGCATATTGTACTTTCTTAAACATACAGTAGTCACAATCAAATAAGTGTAGCAACAATGACACCTTAAATTGGGGCACAAAGGTGGCACAGTGAATAGCATGCGAGTGTGTCTGTGTTTGTGTGTGTCCGGCAATAGTCTGGTGTCCCTTCGTTGGTGCAGCCTTGTGCATGTTGCTTGCTAGGATAGGCTGCTGCTCTCCAGAGTCCCTGAATTGGATGAAACTGTTAGATTACACTATTTCTTTTACATATATAGTATGTACTACTTCTAATAGTCAATCCTAATCTGTAATCTAATACCAAATGTATCCATTTAGATTTATGGATGTGTAGAGCAGAAACCAACTCAGATGTGTTGATAAAGCTCCAAAGTAGTTCTAACGATACAAAATATATATTGCCAACACTTCGTTGTGTCTAGACTTTTACACAGCTGTGTAGATTTTATATGTATAATGTTAAACTGTATATTTGTCAAATTATAGTTACAGAAAATACATTTTCATTTAAAAGAGATAAATGTTTTCTGGCACTCATGATTCATTTGAATCCATGTGAAAACTCCACATTTCTTTGCGATAAAAGCTTGTGAAAATAAAAAAAAAGTGACAGTGGTAGTTCTAATGTATGACTATAAATGTTCATTTGGGACCATCTGCACATATTACACTAATTTAAACCTAACAGGAAATGAAATTTATAGATATCATTTTTCAAAATTAAAAATAATCCATGATATGAGAGCCTATACTAATGTACTGCACGCACGTCATGTATGAATCACAAGAAAAAATGTCCATGTTTACTTTATCTTTCCTTCATACAGTATATTTCATATACAGTATTGTATATCCTTGTATTAAATTGGGAAAATCACCAATTAAAATTATTTTATTTTTCTGTATGCTAAATGTTTCAATAGAAATTAATACATTAAAAAAGGTCTCTATTCAAATATTGTTCATCAATGTTTGTCTAATTATTCAAATGTTTACTTAGAGGACAGTTTTTGACATACACAAAATCAATTATTTTCTTCTACCTTTAAAACTCTTTAAAAATCTGGATTCAAAATGTAAAAAATGAAACAAGGCAACGTAACTACCCAAATTAAAAGTGACAAAAGTATGAACATACCTGTTATTGGTTACGTCTTAAAACTATTATTTTGTTGAAAACCTGCCAGTCACTGTTAAATACCAAACAATGGTGTGGTATGTGGATTTTTTCTGCTTTGACTGCTTTCTGTCCCCATAGGACTTGAGCATGTAATTGCATTAAGACAAAAACATATACAAGTCTATTTGCAGTTGAAGAGTCTTATCAGGAGAGACTGTCTAAATCTGAATTCAAATCATTCTTGTTGGGCCTCAGTCTGTTCAGACTTTTCCAGAATCATCCGTTTATGTGGTCTATCTACTGTACCAGTTCTGCTATAGACAAAGTAATTACAGCTCCTTGCTCTATTTTACCCAAGTATGTAAGACCACAGATTTTGAAATGATTAAAGTAAAATGTGGCAGTAATTGCTCACAAAAGGATATAGCTGTAAACGACATTGATAGTATACCAACAGTTGTTACGATTGTCCTCTATTGTTTGAATCGGGAATCCCCAGTTATGCTCTATTAATACCTGTGTTTAAAGTCCACCTTTTACAGCTACAGCACCTGTACCATTGAGGGGAGACCAAATACCAGTGGACATGCCCACCAATATTTTGAGAATGCTGCAACCTCTTTCAGAATCCTGATCATAATTGGCTACTAACTTTGTCTAGGTTCAGATAAGGGGTATCTGGAGAACTGGGTTCAACCTGCAGTCTAAGAGAGTGACTTCACTGTCTGCACATGTCATAAGTTGATTTTTCGAAAGTTATTTTGTGAAGTAAAGCACAAGCACGGTTCTTAGTAATCGTAATTGTGCATCTTAAAACAACAGGGGGAATTTATAGTGGTACAGAAACAGTACATTTATTTTTATGTTTGACTGAAGGTAACTTCTTTAGTGTGTATTTAATAAATGAATACAATGATAAAACATTCTGTATGAGCAAAGGGTATGTTAGGACGTCTTAGTTTTAGATGTTTTTATAGTTTTTAAGAAAACTCACAGTAAAAAACATTTATGTACCAAAGCGTAGTGTTGCTTTTCACCACAGACAGTATTCAGGTCACTTCCATTTTTACAGTGGTTTTAATACTGACCACCACATTACTAAGTCACTAAGTACAGTTTCTACAGTCTCAGTACTGTAAATCTGATCAGGGCTCAGACGAAAACCAGTAATTCAGACAAAAACTGTATCAAGGGAAGCAAGTATGACTGCATCAGTACTGAGATTAGTCTGTGATTACATATTTTAAAAAAAATCTGCTCACAAAATCTTTTTAGATTTAGCTGTGTGGTTCAGGTGTTGTGGTTCAGGTTTTTTTTTTACCTGTATTTTTGCTTTTCACTTCCCAGATGAAACCTGTCGTATTGAGAAAATGCGTGATTTCCGTCCCAGTCTGTCAATTCGATCCTCAGTGCATACTGCCGCTGGCTCGTAAGCAAGAACATAAATTCATTTCCAAGCCAGTGTTCACCAGAAGGACTTCCAAAACCCTAAAAAAAGAAGGTGGCATAATCAATATATTTTTGAGTAAACCACCGTACACCCCCTTAACATCATAATCATCGTTTAAAACACAGGAAACTTGGTCTTTATTTTAATAAAGAAATAGTAATTCAATCTATTAATGTTTTGTCTCCCTTTACTATACATGTCATTAAAATTCTCTCATTAAGCTGCTTGCAGTTTAAAATAAATCTATTCACATGTGAACTGAAGTGATTTGCTACAGAAATAAAATCAACATTGAACAGACCTTGCCAGACCTTTTTATGAGTGCACAAATGAAGAACACATGAAAACTATGTATAAAGCATCAACTTTTTATATTTCATTTGTGATTTTTTTCATCTGCAATAAAAACAGCATTTCCTTTTACAGAGTTTAAGGCATTAACTATGATAAAATAGAATATTATGCACGTACATTTGTCTAATTGAAACAATTATGAACTACACTGTTTCTGACACATAAACATTAGTGTTTGTTGTTAATACATGGAAAATAACAGCATTGTCTACCAGTGCGATCTAGATTTTTAGCTTAAAACAGGACCATATGTTTGTTTAACATGTTTATACTGATTGTATATGAAGTACTTGGCTGGCTTTCTGTAAGAGTGCATTTAAAAAAAACCCCATAAACCTCTTTTATATGTTTTCTGGAATTCAATAAATTAAAAATATGACTTTGTTCTGTGAAATGGTATTACAAATGAACATTTTTAGAATTTTTCACATCTACTATAATCTATAATTCACTGTTCTGTTCCTATGTGATTAAGAATATGAATAATTCTGAAGGGCACCGTATAAGAAGTACAGTATGAAATAACTATACCCTTAACATATTGTAGCTTTCAAAACAGAATGGGCAGGGCTTGACTTGATGAAACAATGTGGCAGAGAGGAAGAGCACCAAGGGGCACACTCATGAGATCTCCATTTTTTCTTTTACATTCATAGCACTTTCTACGTTTTTCAAGTTTTGGCTAGCTTGTACGATTTCCAGGGGTCCTCCTTGCTTCAGTTGGGATTACAAGAAGGGTAGACAAGGGGTCATGTTTCAGGAGAGCCAATGCTATCCCTTGCATCCCCATGGTATTGCTACTGTTTTCAAAGCAGGATCTCAGAACCGACAAGAGGTACTGTAGGTAGTTTAAAGGACAAATATAAATGATAATGAGAGACAAAATAAGTTAAATACTAAAGAAGAGATCATCCATTTAATCTGTTTGTCACACGAATATTTCTGATGGTAAATTTTGGATGCATGAAGGGTTCTCGACACCTTGCAGGTCAAGATTAAATTTTTCTCGACAGGGCTATTCTGGTGCAAGTTCTGTTGCACTCTTGGTTGCCGAAAGCTTGTGAGCTCAATAGTGTATTTGATGTACAACGTTTTGTGTTAAACACAAATAAACACTGATCCAATCAACCCTTTAAAGGGTTTAATCACTGACCTAGCCTGAAGTGATTTTTGACACTCACCAACATCAGGTGAGTATTAATGTATTCATTGGCAAGAGAACATGTCTTGTGGTATTTAATTGTTCAAAACACCCAGAATGTTCAATGCTGTCTGAAACTGACCAGATATAGTCCTTAGCATACTAATAATCACCTTTCTCCAGTGAAATATAAAGAAAGAAGCAATTGTATGAAAGTGTCTCTGGTAGTCAAAAGATCTCCCTCTTATTTACTTCTCATGCGCTATCCTATACTCAGTACCAAATACTATACCAAGTCTGAGGTCAACCGCAGTCTTAAGCAGTTTTGGGCCTCAAATCAGAGTCCAAAGCCATAATTTTATGTTCTTTCTCAATTGTTTTCAATACACATGTCAAATTCTTAAAGCAGTATGATCCAGATATTCTCCAAAACTGATCTACTGTAACTGTGCTGTTATAGATGTTGTATTCTTCACATCATGGGACAATATTTGGAAAAGTTTAAATCCCGCCTCCAAAAATCCTTACTATTGAACAATCCACTTATATTTGCTTCACCAGTAAGTATAAATGTGCCTTACCTTTTAAAAAAAGATATCATAAGAAGTAAGTTTCTAGGCCTCTTTGCATACTATGTTCAGAAGGCACATTGATAAGTATTTATGTACTTTTTGGGAGTAACTAGATACAGTATACAGTATACAGCATAGTAGTTGAATTCTGGAATCAGGTTTTTTTTTTGTTTGTCCATACATACAGAGAAGGACTGTTTCCTGATTTCACTTTGTGTTACGGTTAGATCATGACTGAAAAATCTGAGCCTCTCACAGAAACAGATTTGTTACTGATTGACATATCTGACTGCACTTTTGGTGGAGCCTCTGCATTCCCTCTCCTGGCATCATTAGATAATAATGTTAATAATAATGTAATAATAATAATAATAATAATAATGTTTCTTTATTAGCCCTATACAATTTCTTGCATTAGGAATTCGTCTTTTTGCATACCCCAGCTTTTCTCCATGGAGACACAGACACACAGACATGGAGAAGCTTGGGGTCAGAGCGCAGGGTCTGCCATTGTACGGCGCCCCGGGAGCAGTTAGGGTTAAGGGCCTTGCTCAGGGGCCCAACAGAGTAGGATTCCTCTGCCGGCCGCGGGATATTGTCTCATCTTAGTATTATTTATATGGAGCTGCTATAATTCATGGTGCCAGTGGGGGGAAGCCAGAAACGTGCAGTGCTACAACTGATGTAGTCAAAATGCTGGACTTCAACTGTAGATATGGTCCACATTTGACCATATTTTAGGATTTTTTTAAATAGAAAGTCGGAATTGTATACAACTGAGAGGGGAGGTATATTTTTTGGGGTTTTTTTTGGTGTTATTGTTATAAACATAAACATCTCTTTACAAAAAAGTACAGGGAGAACTTCTTTACACAAAGGGCAGACGGAGTAAGGAACAAGATACAGTACCTAGCTACTGTATATTATTGAATCATTGATTCATATAAAATAATTCATATTAAAGAATGGTGCTTGCCAGGATAGGCTCCGGTTACTCTACAGCCCCCAATTGGATGAAGGGCTTAGAAAAGGGATAGATTGATAAAAGAAGGGTGTTTAAACAGTTTATCCCATATAATGTCATATTACAGGATAGTTATCATGGACAATAGTATTAATTTGATTTGTGGCAGTATAGATTCTGACATTATTGAAAAATATTTTGTATTTCTACGAACTGTAATTCTCTCTTAGTTCCAGTGATAGTGAGTGAGAAGAGTTTTGCAGGTACCTCCTCCACCCCCCACACACACTTTTCACCATTGTCTTCTTTGTAAGGTGTTAAGTTCCTCTTGGGAAATTCTGCTTCTTAACCTATGTTCTGTCTATCAGGGACCTAGGGAAACTTACTCTGTTTCTGGCAATCTGGACCTGAGGCCAACGTTTTGTTTTCAATGCCTTGGCACCTTAGCTAATTGTATTAGAAATGGTTTCAAAGTTATGTTTTATATCATCTGCACTTTCATTTCATGTCAGATCATTCTTGTTGCATGGCCTAATGCATGTCTTCTGAGTGATTTTCCATTATTGTTTTAGCTAACTTTGTTATTTCAGTCAGGAACTAGTTATTCTATCAAAATACTACTCAAACATTTAATGGGGAGCAATATAAGTATTGCATCATGTGGATTAAGCAATAGCAAACCTTTATAAACTTAATTCTACAGAGATTCAATGTTTCTTCACAACACTGATTAAAGCACCACCCTCAAATCCAGCACATTTTATATTGTGTCTAGTGATTAATTTAACTTGTTAAGAAGATGTAATACTGTAGTGAGTTTCAATGACATTAAGACAACATTTGTCAATACTTCTATTGTGAAGTTCTATTAAAAGTTCTGTTTACTGCAGTCAGTAACAATATGTAACTAACACAACATATAACCAAGGAGATAAAAGATAATAACTAACAATTCCATGTCTTTTTGTGGAGTTTTTGTCTGATAGTATTTTTTAGCATTACATTCGTGCAGTAATGGCAACAAAGTAAAATATCACTTTCCACTAAAGCTAATTCTGAAAAATAGTTTCTAAAATATAACCTGTAATACAGCTGAATCACTAACATCTAGCTGTATTTTAATTTTTCATTTTTATTTAGAAGGCAAAGATTTAAAACACACCACAGGACTCTTTAATCCACGTTATCCAAAAGATAGTGTTAATCTGCCCAATATGCTAAACCTCAATAAATACACTAAGTTATAGTAAATATATTTTAATAATGTGCACATGTCATAAATGTACACCTTGAATTTTTGGATTTGTGCTAATGCTTGAAAACACAACTCTACCCCCCATGTGCTGTAAATGTAACACAGGAGAGTACCTCATCCTTTCAGAACTTGAATGAACTCCAAGGACTTTTGCTTTTTATGTGTATTGCTTTTAGAATTACATGTTCCATTAGGAAGATATAAAAAGGCATACACACAGTTGTTTGTTAATCATAAATACTGTACCAGCTGTTACTTTCACCTTCTTTAAAATGGTCTCTGAAGTTCATTTTAAAGGTTAAACTGTTAACATAGTTCATAATGTTGACACCATTAAGCAGCCATAGCAGCCATATCACCCTGCAACTCACAACTGGCAACCCACTGAAGCTATGCAGGTGTGAGCCTGGTCAGTACCTGGATGGGAGACCTCCTGGGAAAAACTACAGTTGCTGCTGGAAGAGGTGTTAGTGGGGGGCGCTCACCCTGCGGTCTGTGTGGGTCCTAATGCCCCAGTATAGTGACGGGGACACTGTACTGTAAACAGGCGCCGTCCTTCGGATGAGACGTAAAACCGAGGTCCTGACTCTCTGTGGTCATTAAAAATCCCAGGGCGCTTCTCGAAAAGAGTAGGGGTGTAACCTCGGTGTCCTGGCCAAATTTCCAATAATCCCCCTCTATGAATTGGCTACATTACTCTGCTCTCCTCCCCACTGATAGCTGATGTGTGGTGAGCGTTCTGGCGCACTATGGCTGCTGTCGCATCATCCAGGTGGATGCTGCACATTGGTGGGGGGAGGGGAGTCCCCATTACCTGTAAAGCGCTTTGAGTGAAGTGTCCAGAAAAGCGCTATATAAGTGTAAGCAATTATTATTAACATGAACAGTGCACAGGTCCACCTGAGTATATATTTGTACTCCAACCCCAACCACAGTACCCTTGGCATTTTTCTCAACTTTAATCAAATAAACAATCTTGTTTTATAATCAAAATACAGAAATTTAGTGAGCTGCAAAAGACTGGTTCCTAAATCAATAGCTATAGAATGAGTATTAGTTAGAAAACATTATTTATATATTATGATTTCTACCCAGGAAAAAGTCTTCGATATCCAGACTAATTGTAATGTGTCAATTACGATTTCAAGATTCTCAAGTGAAATGGATATCAACAGCAAAGTCCCAAACATGTACTTAATGGTGGCGTTTAGTTGAACAGATGCAAGAATACACTGAAACAGAAACCTGTCATCCTGTGTCATGAAATTTGCAATTTTGTGAAGGCTGGGTGGTAATATTTTGGCTTAATCTGATTCCTTAGTATCCAAGAGTGAGTTTCTCCATGATACAATAGAGGATATCCTGGCTACTGTGTATAAAATAGGATAGCTGATGTGTGTAATAAGATTGAAACATACTGTATTATGTATTCTGGTTATACCTTTTTATTACAGAGCAATTTCTTAATATTTAATAAAGTTTTCAAGTCTCCTAAATCAGCAAATATAACCAACATTTAACCTGTGTAAAATGTTTACTATTTACAAATGATTCTTGTATTAGGAATGCACTTTGTAACATGCAGTACTACAAAATTTAAGCTTTCTAAACAAATGATAAATGAGCAGTCTTTTTCGATTTCTAATTTTACTAAGTGATCTGCTAGAGAATATTTCATTATAATGATGTAGTATATTTGTTAATTTCCTGTTAAATTTCCACAATGCACTATAATAACATTTAATCAGTATTTTGGCCAGACCTTATCTTAATATAAGGGAAATTAATTCTCTCCATCTCACCATTTTGTACTCCTTCCAGGTCCTCTGGAAGTCTACACTGCCATCTTCCCTGCGTTGAATTACTGTCCAGCCCCCTCCTGCTGCCTCCATGTTACAATATACCTGCTGGGACAAAGAGCAAAACTGAGAAGCACAGATTTTCTCTTTGGTCTCTGTTGCGAACGAAATCTTATTTATGAGAAACAAATTTAAAAATATAATGCCGATCACACTGTTATCTTTTTTAGGAAGATGGTGTTAATTTACATTAGTCTGAAAAAAACACATTTTGTACCGGATTTAACCACTGTGGAATTTTGTTAACTAGAAGAAGAAAACAACTTTATAGGGTCTGTTCCCTTGACCAGAAGTCAAAATCAATACTCTGTAAGCTTTCCATTATTAATGGGATCAATCACCCTTACCTGGATACGATAAAAATCAATAAGAGAGCTACAGGAACTTTCCCTGATCAAACTCTGCTGAGAACAGTAAGCATACTACAGTGATTAGGGAAGTCCTACTGACAGGAGACCTCCTGAAACTAGATTAGAAATGACTGCCAACATTCTGTGGTCTGGCAGTCGCTTGTGTCAATGAACACCTGTTGTTCATACAGGGTTGCCAGATATATTTCAGGCCTTAGATTAATCCCGAAAGAGCCAATAACTACCCCCAGACTGGCTGGACTCCAAAAGGTCACTGTGGCTTTCGGAAAAAAAAAATTAAATAGAAAATGCATGCAAAATGAGCATTTCAGTGAAAATGATATTTCAGAATTCTAAAAAAGAAAATTGCGCAGAATTCAACAGCAGACAATCGCATCGATGAGTCCAAAAATCGTTACAATGATACAAAAAATAATACATCAAATGTACACAAAATTAAAATCACACTGTCTTATTGAAACGACGTTAATTTCAGGGAAAACAAACCTCATTGATGAATGCTTAATTTCACTGCATTTTTGCAGCATCATTTAACACTCCAATTTACCTTCTTTGTCTCCAGCATGTTGTTGATATTGATTGAGTAGACTCCACTTTTGTTAAAACCAGCATGATAAATGTCAGCACAGTCTCTGTATCTCTTCTCTTCTTCTGTTCTTTTTGTGCTCCTTGGTACCACTGTTGAAAAACAAATGATATTTCAATTTATATTTTCAATGATATCACTGATATCCATAGTGAGGTTACCAAGCTCCTGCTTGTGTATCACTGTTTGAGTAGAGTGTATAAGTGTGAGGCTGCTATAAAGTTCACAGCAAACCAAGGCCTAGGGATTTAGAAAAACAAAAACTAAGAAAATTATTGTCATTCGGTTTTTAATTTAAAACAATATGAAGAATAAACATAACTTCACCTCCAGACTAAATAGGGTATCCTTTGATTTTTCACTGAAATATCTCAATGTGCACAGCATGCACATGGCAAAATGCACACAAAGTGTTGCAAATGCACATCTGACTAGTAAAACTGGTACTGTAATACAACAAGTGCAATGAAAATCTGTTTATCAGCTGTAAAATCTTTTAACTCAGAGCAAAGGGAATCACTAACGTTGACAGGACCTTAATACAACAGCTGTTAGTCTACATCCATCTGTGTATAATTATGGCTTCAGTATTTTGAAACTAAGCTAAGGACAAAATATTACAAGCTATAAATTTCAAGATCCTGTTATAACAAGTGGCTTATATTTACCTTGTGTGTCTCCGTTTTTTACATAGAAATTCTCTCTGATTTTTATAAGTTTGTTAATCTCAATGTCATAGGATTGTTTTTATTATTGAAACTGCTTATAAAGAGAGATATATCCAAAACTTGAAATATGTCAGCCTTGTTTAAATTGTTTGATACTTTATGATCTAGAGATTCCTTAAAGAATGCGGTAAGTATTGTTTTAAGGATTTTACAAGATATTGAGTGTCAATGACAAGAATTTAAAACAGTGTGGGGCTGTCAGAGTGTACCTTTGCATTGTGGAGTTTGATGACAAGGGTACAACTAAAATGTACAATGGATTCATTCAGATACATAAATTGTTTCAAGGCTTGGTGAAAGTTTTGAGTTAGAGCTAAACTGGATTTGTTGTAAAATACCTGCATTTATTGTAGGTAATAATTTAATAATAGTAATAGAGACATGGCCCTACTGACCTTTCCAATGGTGAGCCTACAGTATATTCACTCTCAATTGAGCCCTTCTACGACAACCTACAGTTTGTCCTGGAAAACTTTCTCAGGACATTGGTCAGGTAATATCAGCTTCTACTGTCACTCAAAATATACCAAGAGGTTTTCAAATTTAGTATCAGAAGGCAAAATGTAACTTTAACTCATTTAAATAAGGTTCAGTTTAGCAATAGTTTTAATATGTAACAAATATTAAAAGAAGACAATACAATATTATCAACTTATATAGTATAATATTTTCCCCTAGATTTCAGAGATTTTTCCTTATAGAGTATAGAAAGTATGGAAAATGACATACTGTACATAATGATTTACATTATATCAGCCTTAAAACTTCATTCAGTTAGCATTTATGTTGGTTTTCATTATTCATCATTAATTCATATGTGTTTAGTGTTATTGTAAGTAATATCATTTGTTAAATCACTTTAAGTTAATCTTATAGTAACAATAAAAAAACATGAAAATTACATAAATATGTTTATTATCTGGGTATATAGTAAGCAGTAAATTAGTATTATACTATTTCATAGTGACCGCTGTTAAAGCAGTATAGCAGAACCTTATACTGTATTCCTCAAATGTGTTTCTCTTCTCTAATTTTTGTTACTGTAAATCATTTTAAAATATTAATTTGAATGTTGCATGTCAAATAGAAATGTGCAACAGAAAACAAAAGCAACAGACTTGGTAGGAAGCATAACAGGATTTATAACAATGCGGAAATGTAGATAATATATAAACAACTCCTTTGAGTGATTACAAAGAACTCAGAAAATGTATTTTTCAGATCATTTAATGAATTCACTAAGCCACTCCCAGAAATAGCAGTAAACCATTTAGATCTCTTGAGGTTTGGGTAACTTGGTTGTTAATGTGATTAATGGGCTTTATTAGATCAGTAATCGAATATTCCAAAATATTGTGCAGCCAGAGAGGTAAAAGGTAAAGGTCGTTGCCATTATTGTGAACAAGATTCATATGTGTTATTGAAGTTTTGGTAATAATTAAGTGAAAATTGCGGCTGTAATTTTCCTTAGCACTTCAAACGAACAAGAAAAATCATCATTCAACGCAAAACTGTCTTGAGAGAAAACATGAACTACATGCTTGCAAATGTTATGAAAGATGGGGATAGTTTGTATATCAAACATGGGACTGAATGATCACAGGCTGTTTTTGGTATTCCCAGTATATATTCTTTACATTGATTTAATATGTTATATTGTGTTATACAGTATACTGTACATATAGGTATATTTTTGTGTGGACAAGATGTAGAGACTGGTTATGATCCTGGCCTTGTAACTGAATGCGTTTAAACTTCATTTAAGGTTGAACAACATACTTCATTTAACTGTTCTAGTAAACTACATAGCTGAATAATGGGTGACAATGTACATTGCTTTGGATGAAACATCACTCAGTGCATTCTGTAGGACTGAACTTACAGGAGCTAACTAAACTAATGCTATTAGTTTTTGTTGCCAGAGTATATTTGTTCATTTTAAATGAACTGTAAAGCAAAAACTGCTGTTTTTATTTAACCTGTTCATGTACTGTATGCTTTGTTTGAATATACACTTTTATGTAGAGAATTTACAGCATGGTCTCTTCTAGCCAATCAATTTTAAATAATACTATTCTTTTAAATACAATTCATTTAAATCTAATTTAAAGTAGATATGCAATTACTCCGTATTTAGAAGACATTTTTCATCCAGAACTTCAGTGTATTGTATCTGGGTAGAGGTGTGGTGATTATAGTTTAACACAACGATATGATGGCTACTTAAAATATCGTTCACCTGAAAACTAAAAGCACGAGGAACTTTTCTCTTTGAGGAATGTTGCATGCTCTGCATTGTTTTCAATGACAGTTACTGAAAGACACAATCAGTATTTTAAATTCTATCAACTCACTGAAACATCATGCAAGGAGCATGTTACATAATTAACTTTATCAGACATCTTTCTCCCAGAGGCCACTGCCCCAAAGTTGAAATCCAGAATGAAAAATTTTAGAAGGGATGAACTTGTGACCTTTGTACACCACACAGCTTGATGTTGCCATGTTGGAAATAATGACTGACCTCAAAGGGACAGTCACAATGTCTCATTTCACTCTCCCTACATTAAGTGAGCCATTCATCTTAAACTGTTCTTTTCAGTACATTGAACAGAAACTCTGCACTCTTGGACAAGCTCAGGCTGAACTGTGTCACCCGACAGGTTCTTATTTTACCTTAAGGGGGGTCTTCTCATTTTCCTGCCTTAGGGGAGTTTTAGAATTTCAGTTTCAATCGTATATTATGTTTTTTTGTGGGTGTTTTTAAATTATTTACTTGATCTACAAAGCAGTATAGAAAGGGTGCTAATGTTGAGGACTGGATATGTGTTTATTTGCATGTGATTGTCTACAGTATAATAGATAGAAACTGTGTCCATTTCCCTTACATTTTAAGACACCCAAAAAACCTAACACAATTTAAGAAGATTAATTAAGCTGTAAAACAGCTATATGATTGGCCAGACTTTTTCTGCTATTCAAATGAAGCCACTTTACTTCCAACCCTTATTAAATCACATGTGGCTAATGGACAGTGCGAATCAAATTGATTATAGTTTTAACTACCCCTTACTGTTCAATTCCTGTTGCCTCTTGAGTTTAACTGGACAAAAAAGAAAATCCTCATTCCCACATGATCACCCATATAGGGAAACATGCATATTATGCCAGGATATGTTACAGTAGATGTAGCTATTGGTCCAATACAGTATAAGACCACAAAAATGTTTGTTGCTTCACAGGAACTTTTCAGATATTGCTCTGTTGGATATATAATATTAGTAAACCGCAGAGTAGATTTAAAATGCAACAAGATCAATTGAAATCCTTTACTTTCAGGAATGTATAGAGCTATATGAACTGCTTTTAGGAATGGCTGCAGTGACACAGTATTTTGCCAGAAACTAACAGTAGGACAGTTGTATACTGATGTTTAAAATATCCTTATTAAGGTTAAAATTACTGACGAATACTAAGTATCACTAAGTCTGGCATTCAATCTGAAATACGCATGCCACATAAAATACAAAAAAGTGCCGTCTCGCACGGCACTAGTGTTTATGAATGGCTCTCAGTTCTTTTAATGGCATGTGTCACTGGAAGAGTGAAAGTAATTCCCGATAATGCCTGCTTATTTGGGAAACAGGAGACCTTTGCTGAAACATTCTTGGTTTTGTATGGGAAACGCAAATTACACATTATGACCCGAGCTAGACCCTAGTCTGGCTCCTTCAAAGGAAACAAGGGAGCCATGCCTTACCTCCTTCTTTGGAGCAGAGGTTAACGAGGCCTTGGACTGTCTCCATGAGGTCTAACTGCTGCTTCTGCAGGATGCTGTTGTTCCCCGTGGCCTTGTTGAGCTGGTTTTCCAACTCCTGGATTATTTTACTCTGACGTCCCACCAAGTTCTGGAGACTGGCTTTCTCATTCCTCAGAACCTCCAGCTCCTCCTTGTGCCTGTCCTCCATCTCTAACATTTTGTTCTCCAGGAGGCTGAAAAGAGGTTATTTTTAGTGTCTTGTTTTTCTCTTCAATGATGATACTAACAATTTGACTTCATATTCAAATACTTTTCAACCTTTTCTTTAGACATTTTATGTCTTTATGTCTTTACAAACCATGAATCTGCTTGGAAAGTGCATCTATTATTTTACCTCTAAGCAATAAACAAATAGCATGTTATCCATACTGGGAGATACATCAGTAGCACTTTAGTGGAGGCATTTCTGAATTAAATCACAAATTTGAGATACAATTTTAATAATTCATTCCTTTACAGAAAATGTGTAGGTTTTTCCTGAATGTAAGCTTTAGCGAAAATGTACACTCTGTAAAACACTACTTAAATTGAAAAAGTTGGGCATTTAATCACAAGTTTATTCACAGAGCAAATCATGAATGATTTACCATCATTATGATATGTTTTGTTTAAAGAAATGCCTGTTGTTCAAGGTAACAAAACGAAAAATATATTCATTAAAATGCTAAAAAACAAATAGGATTTAGTATGAGTTTGCTCAAGTGAAACAGGACAATTCTCATTATTAATCGTAGGGTTTCTCAGCACAAAACAGTTATTTTGTTAGAATACAAATATCTTCCATGTTTTTGGTCAAGTCACACAATCAAATAATATTTTTTTTTCTATACAAAGAACAATGTCTTTGTAATGCGTAAAGTTAAGATTCTGGCTATTAAAATGATTGTTCTTGTCATTTGAAGGGTTTTAATACTGAAGGAAGCATACGGTATGTCTCAATTTCTGCGAAACAAGAAACATGGTGCTTTGAATTAATAAATTAATCTCATTGCAAATAAATAGGTCTTAATGAAAGCAACCAATTTTTGCCTTTTCTAATTATACAGTACTTACGGTACATATTGATTTTCTCTTTGGTAGTACTTACAGAACATAATGTACTTATGTTCCAAGTAAAAAACTACAATACAAAAGTAATCTGATTTTAAAACAACATTTAAAAGTATTTGTTTTTCAAACAGGTGCCACGGGAATTTTATTACAATCTCAGCAGGGATTTTCTTTTGTTCTGTATGGAATGTCTCGAATAAGTGTAACACTTTACCAAAGGGCCATGCTTCTTTTCCAAACAAAACAAAATAAAAGCCAAAAAAAAAACAACAAAACTTGTATGCCAACTTCAGTTACAGCTGTATTTTCATTTTGTTTGGACAAATTATTGCACCAGAGTCAGATATATTGAACTTAAAATACTGCATTGTGCTAGACAATGGTATATTTTATATATTTATTTTATATAAATGTATTATAAATTGACAATGATTTTTGTTATACCCGCCCAATCTGGAACAGCCAAAACAAACTCTGAGACCACACACAGGGGAGCATGAGGAGCTGTATGCAGACTCCTCAGGCAGACGCTACTTTGACTCATTTGTCTTTTGACATGTCACAGGCAAATCAGTCATTGCCTGAGTTTTGCCACTTGGGGAATCCTGGCCACAGACAGCTAGATAAGTGACCTAGGCCCTAACAACGTGCTTGCTCATGCTCCTCTGTTGCTCCAGTCCTGGCAGCAGTAGGTTTGTAATGAGAAATTACTCTGCATGGGGATGCTCATTTGATATTATCTTTTGACATTAGACTTGACTGCGACTACACTACAAATCACATACTCCAACAGGCATTAAAAATGTAGAAAATGTTATTGTTTTAAAGTACGACATCTACGAATGCCCTCTCTTCTGATGTTCCTCTTTTATTATTATAAATTATATTTCAGATACTATTTTGTAGTACTTTTTTATTCTTTCTTATTTAATATTAATTTTTTCACATTCCTTTCTCATTCACACTAGTAACTCCTTTCTGTGTTGAACTTAATGAGGCACTTCCGATAGTCTTATCCCTGTGGCCAGGCCACCTTTCCCCTAGCCAAGTGGGTTAAAGTGAAACCTGTATCTCAAGTTGCTCATCCACTAAATGTCTTAATACTTGCAGTGTCTGTCCAGAGCTATTGAACCACTAAGCTCAGTCTCTTTCTGGGTTTGGAACATGCAGTGAAATGTAAATTAGACTGGAAAAGAGGGGGGAGGATAAGTATAACATTAATAATATCAGACATTTCAAGACAATTGTGCTACCAGGATTGTTGAACACTTCTTTCTAATAGGAAACGTAACATTCTTTGGGATTAACCAAATATAATCATCCTTCTCTGAACCATATGTATAGCTAGCAGAGTTGGGTAGAGATTTTAAAATGTAATCTATTACTATTACAAATTACTTGTGCTAGGGATTACTTTTAATTAAAAAGAAGCTGGGAAACATAATTTAAAAAAGGTATCAGTAACACTTATAATTACAATGTAATTACTATATAAAGTAATTAATTAGCTGTTAATACCCATTCTCCATACCTTCTTATTAATTAAAAAAAAGTAATCGCTTGTAACTGTCCCCAACACCGGTCACTGGGAGAGTACCTTGACATCCTTTCTGCCTGAAAGTACTGCACGAATGAACAAGTTGTGGAATGGAGCTCACAGCTGCTAACATCATTTTCAAAGATGCAGCTCTGAGGTGAATTTCAGAATCAAGTGATCACAATTTCATAAAATGTTGTACAAACAGCTTGATTAATCTGGCAAAAATAACTTATATTATCTAATCGTCACTAGGCATTTATGTCGCCAAATATTATGTGTAATGCTATGGTAACTAAAATTAAGCTAATCTATCTTATTTTCCCCCTACACAGGCCAGGTTTACAAAGAAACATATAGATGTGATGATTAGATGCTCATCAATATAATCCATTCTTTTCTGTAAGTGCCAAAACTGTCAGTTTCCTTGTTCAATTTATTCATTTTATTTGTACAGATGATAGAAGTTTTTATTCATTTAATCAGTGTTGATAACAGCTTTATAATCCATTTAAAGTCTTGCATTAAATCAAACCAATGATCTAATTTAAGATTTTGTGCGTATTCTGAACCATATTCTTACTTTTTTTTCTTCCACATCTTAGCATATAGTGTAAGAGAACTAGTGATAACATGATAATTGCAATTTGACAAACTAAACCTTTCTGTTACTATTTTGAAAATGCTAAAAACTTATTTTTACAAAATACAACCCATCCATATTTTAATTTAAATGGTTAAGTCTTGGAAAATAATATATTTATATATATATATAAAATGGGATTAGTGCACAAGATGAACTAATTGTACCTGTTTTTTTCATGTAGGTTGCTGATTTCATTTGTCTGTAGCAGTAACTTATTTTCCAGCTTCTTTGTTGACAACGAATTCTCTAGCAATTGAATCTCCAGTCTAGAAGTCTGATTTAAAACCTGTCAAAACACATGAAAGGGAATAAAAATAGCCCCCATTGCATTTATGGATCACAAAAATACAAAATTACATAGATATTACAGTGTGGTAGCCCCAAATGGCTTTCTAAACAAATACTAAGGGTGACATCAACAAACTGAATGAAAGTTAATCAGAAAATATGAACAACTCCAAAAATATACAGTTAATTTTGTCTAGGAAAGCTTTTTCTAAATGTTTTTTATGATGAATGTGTAATTGAACAAATATTTTCCTTGGACCTTTCAGTCAAAATCCTTTCTGCTTTTGGGTCGTTAAATGTGAAATAGCTGAATAAATGGAGTGTGGAATGTGTCCTTGGGGACATACCTGCATCTCAACATCTGTCAGTTTACGTGTCTGCTCTGCTGTCTGGCTTAGCAGACTGGTCCCAATTTCCAGCATGGTAGCTGTGTGGTTGTGGACCGCATTCTGCTGTAGCTGTGCCATCTCTGTCTTCATGTTCTCCTGAATGTAGTTTTCAATCTGTAAAATCAGGCATATGTACGCACTTTAGACATGGTAAGGACCTCCTTTGACATATACTATTTCCCTGTAAAGGCAAGATAAGTGTACCATCTACATCTCTCACAAAACGCAAAATTGTTTTACATCATTAACAAGTGGATGCAAGAGTATCCAAACAATCACATTCTCAATTGGTGTGGTGTTAGTCATGATTCTGCTACCAGATACATTCTGTAAACTAACTGATATTCCCCCAGGAAAAACAGTTTTCCCGATTCATCCAGGGCCACGTAGCTATACACCAAATGACAATCAATTGTTAACTTCCAATGTGTGTCAAATTAACTCTAAACCCATAATAAGAAAAGTTAAAAATGATATATTAAGAAGGTACTGTGCAGTATGCCATGACTGCACAGAAAATACAGCATACAGGTTTTAAAATGTAAGGCCCCATTTAAATTCTATACACTTTTATATTATGTAAACTATACAAAGTCTGGAGAAAATAATGGAAAAAAGCTTCCTTACAATTTGACAAGCATATTCAATATCACTTGGAATTGGCTAAAACAAATGAACAGCAATAACAACAAAATGTCCACAAACTAGAAAAAGGCAAAGGATTTATGTAATTTACAGTGGAGGAATCTAGTACCATGAATTTGGCAATTATTTTATTGATTCAGTAACACATCCATTATTTGTTATTGCCTGGATAGTTTAAGGGAAGTGCATGGAGATTTAACAAGAGGCATAAAAGTGTAATGGAGGTGTTTTCTGTTAAGAACAAGTGCATGCCAGTACAGTAACTGTGAACATTTGTGATACATGTTAATATTTTTAAATAAATAAACCCATCCTATTCATAGGAACTGTTTAAATTTTAAAAGGACAGCTTTCCCCATCCTTTGACAAAACACATCATGATGAGACTTTGGGGAATACAGAACAGCCAATTAGCAAATGAATGATTAGTCCTTTAATTTCTGAGTTGAATTTGAACTCAGTCATTCCTCAGGGGCAATATAAAATTTTACATCACAGCACAATAATATGCCAGTTTCACAGCATGCCACCCAGGGTTTGAAGGGAGTGTTTAAGCATGTAGCTGAAAACAGATGTAAGTAATTCGCTAAAGAACAAAAGGAGACAGATGCTGAATATTCAGCAAGACAACTCCATAGGCGAAACTTCATATCTTTCAGCAGAATGGCTGACACTGCCACACAGAACTGTCACCAAAACCAATGAAGTTAAAAATGGGAGAAAAGAATTATGATTCATTTACTTCACTAACGTACAGTACAAATACTTTGTCTTTTCTAACATTCCAAACATACCTGGAAAACAGTGTGATTAGCCACAGATTAATATAAATATATATTTTTTTATTTGCCACTGCAGAAGAAGATGATAAATTTACTACAATATTGTATGCCTTGAAACAATTTTCAGATTTAAGTTAAAAACACAGAAAGGTTATTTAGACAAATCCATTGTTATTTAGACAACCTGCATTATTAACAGTTTTATTTTTAATTATAATTAATGCTTCTGATGCAAAATTGGGTGAATATGATCTGTGGTTTATGGTCCAATCAAAACAACGTATATCTCTTATCTTATGCCTGCACATTGCACCATTATGACTTATTATACACAACCATTATAACACTATAATGGTTTATCAAACTGAAAATTAGTTTATCAAAATAACATCTCTAAAATACTACATTTATTAAAATCTGCATATTTTTTAATAATTTAAAATGAAAGATGGTTATCCCCATGTCTGTTAGAAATTATTACAGGCAGTAGACATTTAGGATAATTGAGTGTTTGCACTGAGATTTAGTTTATTGAGTAAGCAAAAAATAGTGCAAATAATAGGTGAATGTTCAGATTGAGGTGTTATTAGTGGTGTACTAGGACCACTGCTCTTCTTAATTTATATAAGTGATTTACAGTATATTTTGATATACTGTAGTTAGTGCAGTAAATCAGTCTGATTATCAAATTAGGGGAATTAACAAACTATATAGAAGCAGAAAATTCAAGGCTGTGAAAACACATCTGGAAGATTGTTAAATGTAGCAAAGAGTTATGTGTACAGGCGGCAAACACATAAACTATCAATACAGATAGAAGAGGCTACTTACAGTGTGAAAAAGCCTTAGATGTTTATGTTGACACATCACTTACAATGTGGGGAAGCAATGGAAGGTATTTAAATCAAGCAATGTTATGCTGAATTTATACAATATTCTAGTAAGGCCTCATTTAGAAAATGTGCAATTATGGTCACCATGTTATAGAAATATTGCTGCTATGGAATCAGTCCAGGGAAGAGCAACCAGATACTGTACCATACCAGGCCTAAATGGAATGACCTACACTGACTGACTAAAGGAACTGAACCTTTTGGTATTAGAGAGAGGATAACAAGGTAACTTGATCCAGATATCTCAAGTCCTCAAATGTATAGACAAAGTCAACCCTGGACTATGGACTTCTTCAGAATGAAAAGGGAAATACCAACCAGAGGACACAGACAGGAACTACAAACTAGAGTCTTTGCAATAGGGCTCAGTCTTGTTGTGCTCTTCTCCATAGTGATTTATTGAATTGGAAATCCTATTCTTTGTATTTCCCCAAGTTGTGATTGATCCGCTCCACACGTTAATGAAGCCCTTGTTTCAGCATGGGGTGAAACATTAACCATGCACACTTTCCTCTGGAGACATGCGGTTTTCCAAATCATCTGACAGTTTTCACACTGTGAATCCCATAGTTCCTGTAAAGTCGAATCAAAATTGTTTGGAGGGATGGTGCTGTTCTCACTTGCATTACAAAAAAATGTGCCTGGCAAGTCCCAGGAGTCACTATTGCAAGTCAAGTCTAGGATAGGCTTCCCACCTCAAGACCACCCAGTCCACATGGCTCTCAGCCAACTGGACAGTACCACTTGTGGAACTGCAACTTTGAGATGTCACTACGTGTTTTGAAAGATAGCTCAACACTCAATATTTTATATTACCACACTGCACCTTTATTATTTTTACAGTCAAACCCATTTAAAATCTAGTTTACGGCTGTCATAAAACTGCAGAGTTTCAGACATCTAGGACATATTCTCAAGCAGAAAGAAAAAACTAACAGTACAGCTATAAGATCTAATCTGTATTGCAAACAAAATGTACTAGGGTCATCAAAAAAAGACAAAATTATGAATAATTTGATTCAGATACACATAATATCTTATATCCATTTATTAGAGCTACTGGTTTATTTTCTCAAATTTCTTTTGTTAGATTGGGCATTTGGTCTAAAACTGTTGAAAAGAATAAGCTCTATGGCACTTAAAAGTACTGGATCTGCACTATATATGCATCCATCCATTTCTTCCCTCACTGTTTTATCCAGTTCAGGGTTGCGGGGGTGCTGGAGTCTATCCCAGCAAATAACAATGCCATTATATCACAGAACATATAAATACACAGACACGGACACACTCACATCAGCCAGCAGCCATATCACCCTGCAACTCACAACTGGCAACCCACTGAAGCTCAGCAGGCGTGAGCCTGGCCAGTACTTGGAACCGAAGGCGCTGTCCTTCGGATGAAACGTAAAACTGAGATACCGACTCTCTTTGGTTAGTAAAAATCCTAGGGTATTTTACAAAAAGAGTAGGGGTGTTACATATCACTCCAATCATAGCCTCCTAATAGTCCCCATCCATTGGCTCACTTTGCTGCCATCGCATCATACATGTGGGGTTACACATTGGTGGAGGGAAGTCCCCATTACCTGTAAAGCGCTATTAGTGGAGTGTCCAGAAAAGTACTATATACTGTAAGTGTAAAGAATTATTATTATCAGTGCCAGTTTTCTCAGAAGCCAATTACCCTACCAGTTTTCTTTTGACTGTGAGAGGAAACTGGAGTACCCAGTGAAAAACCCACGTTAACATTGGGAGAATAAACAATCTCCGTGCTAACCACCATGCCTTCCTATAAAGATACATTTGCTGTATGTTTAAATGTTTATATTAGGGAAATACATTTCAATTAATCCAAATGTTGCATGGATCATTTGTGCACCTTTTTGGCCTTGATAAATAAGGTTGTCGAATTAATACAATAGGACAAGTAAAGGTTTATTCCATGCTGAAAAGAGAAGAAACACAATATTTAGTTTGTGGAGCCTTCTTCGGGTGTAAAGGTTTTTGCAGCCTACGCATGCTGACGCAGCAGTAAAAGAAATAAGTCAAGGAATTAAGTAGATGCAAATGTACTGTAGTTTATATTAATTATGATCTCATTCAAGTCAGATTTCTGACCTCCAGTTTAATAAAACTGTTAGTGAGTCAAGGTTACAAGCAGATCGTTTAAATAATTTAATTTTAAATCCTCAACAACAGCACTTTTAAACTACTAACATATCATCAATGAGAGAGGTGTTATCACTGGCTGAATGATCTTAGTTTGTTGTTTTTTAATGTATCACTCTTTAGTGTTTCATTAAGGTTTTCCTTTTCTAAAATATGGGCGTATTGTATTATAAATTTTCCTTCGAAAATGCAGTAAAGTTTCCTCCTATGTATGTCGTACTTAACAAAGCAGTTACGATTATCTGAAGCCAGAGATTTCATTTGATCTTTAGAACATTTGCCAGTGTGCTTTGAATATTGTCGGTCCATTTTTGATGAACTATGCAATGTAGATTGCTTGGCAGAAAAAATGGCATCATGCAGAGTCTACATGCTGAGATTTTGTTCAAATCTTATGAGTTTAACCCACTTGTTGGCCCAGAATTCAGGGTGTGGTTTTCATAAGTATGTTGAAAGTAAGCAATTGTGACAGCAATGAATTCTTGACTATTTATGTCTGGACAGACCTACAAAAAAAAAGTCAATAAAGATCTATCACAAATTTAACATACACTATGTCTGACCCTGGTAGGTTATCAGATGGATCTTTAAAATCAGAAGTAAATGGGTTGGACTGGGCAGA